TATTTGTGGAAGGCAGCTCTTTCATTGAAATTGTCTATCTGTTTCTGAGCAATTTCACATTACTGTCCAGACTAATTCTTTTGTTCACTTTTTTTAGAGCAAAAATATGCTAATGGTCCATGACAGATTAAACCCAAATAAATTTAGTCTCCCATAGATTCAGATGAATTGACTCAGATCCTTTGAATACCTTCCTGTTCTCTATGAAAACGTTGGAGACCATTTAATAAACAAGACTGCTTTTTGTGGTTTGTTGTTTGCCTACAAGCATGAGGAGATTGCGCTGCAGGAAAGCCACCAGACAGACAACATTTATGTCACTGCTGCTTTTGGGAGGGCTACTGCATCCTTGAGACTGAGTTTATCTCAGCACAGATGAATGTACCAGGACAGTTGATGCGTTGGCTGGAAGCCACAAAGTTCTTCCAGATTCGTTGTTTTCATGAATAACGTGCACCCAACAGGATGTCTCCAACAATAGCTTGATTTCATTGATAACTGTTTGACATAATTCATAAAATCTTGTCACTTCAGAAAGAAGCTGAAAGGTTTGATGAGGTATGAACATGGGTTGGAAGCACCAAAAAAATGGATGAGATGGTAGGAGTGTCTACACTCCTACCATCTGCCTTTTTTTTTTTTTTTGCAAACAATTCCTTGTTTGAAAAGAAGCAAGTAGAAGCAAATAAATCCTTCTTTAGACATTCTCCAAGCAAAGTCCTTCTGTGAGGGAGATGGTCAGTTTAAAAAGAAGGGTATGATAGACAGACAGACAGACAGACAGACAGACAGACAGACAGACAGACAGACAGACAGATTCATTTGGAAACAGTTCAGTTCATTTTATGAGTTTTTTTTTCTCGTGATGTCATTTATGGATTGAACTTCCTATTCTATTTTCTTTTTCTTTTTATTGTTTTAAGTCAGTGTTGACCCTGTAGTTTTCTTGGTAAGATTTTCAGAACTGGTTTGTCTCCTTCTTCTGACAAGGAACAAATTATATGAATTGAAATGATGGTTTATTTTATTGGCATTAACTTTATTAAATACATTAATAAAGCACAGGAGAAAGTGAGCGACATGTTACCACTTTGAATTGTTCTCTCATACAGAGATACACACAGACACCTCATGTTTAAAAACATAGTAGCTAGGATCAGAATCCTCATACTGTCATCTGAAACTTTTCTGAGTAAATCAAAGTAATAGGTGTTTAGAAACCTTGCTTCCCTTGTTTTTCATATCTAATCCTACTTGTTCTGAACATCAGCAAAATTATATTCCTTTTTCTCTTGTCAACATTTCATAGAAGGAAGGGTTGATGCAAATATCCTTAAGATTCATCTTGTCTGGTACAAAGGAGATACAAGATGCCCATGATACAGAGCTGATGCTCATATTTATTTTGCTTCTAAAGCCATCATCACTCATCATCATCAGCCATCATCAACATCAACAATTGATTGGGTACATGGACCTGACACATTACCAGATGAGCAGATCCTAGTTTTCCTAAGCTTCTTTAAAAACACATGTTGGAGATCTGTATAATAACTATATAGAACCTAAAGGGAAAGAATTACAACCAGTTGTTTAACAACTGTTCAAAGTTACGACAGGTTTATAAAAAGCTACATATGGCCCACTCATGAAGTTATGACTGCTACCTCATCCCATGGTCATCTGTTTGCCTATCTGGTGCTTGGCCACCAGTTCACATTGATGACCGATTGCAGCATCCTGCAGTCAAGTGAGTGTGATTCGTGATGGGTTTTGTTTTGCTGACAATTTGTTTGCCGGTTTCCAGCAAAAAAAACCATCCATTTTTCCAAAATGGATTTCCTTAACGACCACATGATTTACTTCATGACTGTAGTGGTTCACTTTACCAGTCATAAAAAAGTTTATGAAGGATTTGTAACCACCCTGACATATTTGTGTTTTAAAATTTGCATTTATACTTTCCATTGATAATAACATCCTTTTTAAGGGAAACTTGATTGACTCATGAACAGGCCCATTGTGTTTTTTTTTCTTGTTTTCTTCCAGAATGGCTAGATGGCGGTGGTGACAATGGTAATGATTCAGCCTAGCCACCAGTCTTTGTATTCCTTAGGTATTCATACAAGTAATAACTAAGCTCAACCTAGCTTTAATTTCAGAGATCAGACAAGGTTAGTTAGATGCTGGGCTTAATTTCAGCAAGTAACCACAAAAGGAAGGTTAAATTGAATTAGTCAGCATACATTTATTTTGGTAAATAGAAGCCCAATGAAAGTGTAAAAATGCAGAGTGCTAGGATTCTGGAAAGCAAACAACCATTTAAAGGTTCAAAATGATTCCAGAGCAACAGCAGTGCAATCTGGTGCCTATTTATTCAGAAATAAAATAAATATATTCTGTTTCTCTCTTTGTGAAGCCTCCTAAAATATATCTATATATCACCCCAAAGAGTGACTGTTCAGCTTTCCCTTCACATTTGTGTACTTGGGGACATTCGTAAAGGCACCAACACACCCATATGGCTGTTTTTGGCATGTAGAGTTTGGCATCCTACTGACTGAGTCATCTTTTCTTCTTAAGAAAAGTACATGAGGAGGGAAAGACTTAGTGTGCAATAGGCAATAACTAAGTTCATTGTGTGCTGTTCACATCCATTCCTCCTCCTCCTCCTCCTTCTCCTAGCTATCATGCCATATTGATAAATAGGAAAAGTCTTTTTTTTCATTAGTATCAATGAAGAACTGATTATTCTGATCCACTTGTAGTTTGTGCTATGATTCTTAGCACAGCAAAGGTGGGATAGGGTGTAACAAATGGACCAGAAGAACAAAGCGCCTGAAGGCAGGACAAGAAGCAACCGATGGAAACTAATCAAGAAGAGAAGCAACCTAGAACTAAGGAGAAACTTCCTGACAGTTAGAACAATTAACCAGTGGAACAACCTGCCTCCAGAAGTGGTGACTGTTCCAACACTGGAAGTTTTAAAGAAGAGACTGGACAGCCATTTGTCCGACATGATATAGGGTTTCCTGCCTGAGCAGGGTGTTGAACTAGATGACCTCCAAGGTCTTTTCCAACTTTATTATTATTATTATTATTATTATTATTATTATTATTATTATTATTATTATTATTATTATTATTATTATTATTATTATTATTACTACTACTACTACTACTACTACTACTACTACTATTATTATTATTATTAACAGAGTATAACTGATTAATTCTCATCTCTTTCTTGCCTATCCTGGAATGTTTTTGAAATATAGATGAGTGTTTCCAATAAAGGAGAAAATTTGTAGCTCAGGGTTAAAGGGCACTGATGATGTTACCTAGTTTGGATAATAAAATGTCTGTAAGAAAACAACCAAGCTCAGAGACCACCGAGGACTCTGACCTCAAATAAGTGTTTGAACCTTTGGGGTAAATTTTGGGTAAAACAAAATTTTGATAGCTAGATTAGGATGTAGACTATTTCAGGACAACAGTGGATGGGCAGGAAAGCCACAAATATGAATTGAGTTCTGTAAAAACACTCACCCCTTACTCCTTAATATTTATGCATTTTTTACCATTTGTTGCTGTCAAAATTGCAACTTAAGACCCAGGCACAATTTGTCTCAATTAAGAGTTTTATTCATTGCAAAGAAGCCTACTACATCCCATACCCACAAATGGACAGAAGAAATGTTCTGACTTCTCTAAATATTTATTCCACCCACTTGAAGACTTTTTCCTACCTCTCTTCTCTTCGCCAACTAAAGTAGTAATCTAAACACCCACAAGGTGAAGAAAAAAAAAACTCCAACCCTCTCTGTTTCTTAAAAAAGAAAGATAAAGGACATGGCCATGTTACGTAGTTGTCTTGGCAACAGTATGGAAGTGGTTTTTGGTCAATTTGATGTGGAATTGTTTTTGACTTCCAAATCTAGTCAAGAATCTAGAGACTTCCCACTGATATAAGCCCAACCTTAGCATTTTGGGAGAGCCCCCCTCTGAGAGAGATGGGCAGATGGTTCAAAGATGTGAAAAATAAATAAATAAAACTGTTGAGATCAACTAAGGTCAGCTAAGTGCTGCTTATGCCTATATTGTGCAAGACATTGTCTAAACCAAATTCCAGAGTATTCCAGTTATTTACTGGATAAGGAAAAGTACTGTATATTTCCCGTTAGTGGGCTTTTCTCCTGAACATTTTGAAAAAAAAGTTTTGTTCAGTGGCAATTGCGATAAAGAGGACCCAGGCCTAATGCTGGTATTAACCCATAGCTAACTATTAAGTCTGATGAAACTATAGTTAAATAAATTTAGTTTATCAATAATATTTAGTTAGCTATTAAATTTTATGCTGCCCCTCTCGCCCATATCCCCCCTTATTAGGTGTACTGTTGATGTGGAAAGTGAAGGCAAAAGTGGTCCAAGTTGAGGTAGGACCACTCAAGGCTGTGACTCCTTAGCTGGGAGAGTGACTCTATAGATCCCGGGAGCAACATCAAAGCTCTCTGTCCAGAAGGATGCTCAGCTAGGCACAGTTAATGTTTTGCACAGAACCCTCAAACTCCCAGATCTCTGATGCAGAACCCAAGATTGAGGAAGACACATATCCCCCTAAGAGTGAGAAAGGATTTTTTTTAATTATTAACCCAGCTTTTTATTTATATGTGAATTAATATTTATCAATAGCATTTTATATATGTTTGTTTGACTGTATGACAGTTTTGATCTTTGACTGTAAATAAGTAAAGAATTCCTGTAAGAAAGATTCTTTTTTTTAAATGTTTTCGCTTTTGAGACCTGTCCTAGCTGGTTCAACCTCAACCAATCATTTTATTTCATTATTTTTTTTAAAAAAAAGTCCCAAAGTCTACTTATGTCATCAGTCAGTTAAAAAAAAAGGAAGTGTCTCTTCTTGTGGGAAAGACGCTTGTTTCTTACAAGGCAGGTGATATGAGTCAGTATATAAAGCCCTCAGCTCTGCAAGAGGTTAGACCTTTAGATGCAATCTAAAGAGAGAAAACTAAAAATGCCTTGGCTGTTTATGTGGCACACCGCTTCAACTGAAATAAAGACGTGTGAGCTGGCAGACAGCAAAGATCACCGAAAAAAGACAAAGGCTTTGTAAGTATATCTTCTCTTTTGAAATTTATTTTAGGCAAAAAACATACTTAGAAAAAGTTTCTTCTGCTCAGGTTACATTATTGGGTATTGGACCCCCGATTTGGTAAAAGCATGATCGCCAACTGTTTTGCAGGCCTCCAGTTTATTCCAAGGCAGGAATCCAAATTATGAATCAAAAATCCAAAGAACATCAGCTTTGGGTTGCAAATTCCAGATGATGAATCGATAGCAAGGAATTTGGATTTCTGCTCAGTAACCCAAATAAAACTGATAATCACCAGTTGTGTTAAATCAACTTAAAGTTAGTAATTGACAAAATGTATCTTAGTTCAAGCCTTAATGGGAGATAGATAGAACAGAATGAAGGAATTACATTTGAATAAATGTCATACTGGTTAAAACCTATACAGAAAACTTTGTTATAAGCAGTTTGATATTTGTTTAAAAAAACATGAACATTTTCATTTTTTTAAAAAGAACACACCTGCATTTTTAGACAGTATGAATTTTTTAAAAAAGGGATCAAACTTTCAGTGTTCTAATGAACGAGTACTTTTCTCTTTATGTCTGTCTATGTGTGTGTATATGTGCATGCATCAGAGCAGCCTGTTTAGCTTAAAAACGCAGTGGTTCCCCTAGGCTTTTTTGTGGTCTTAGCAGCAGCAGCACAGCAAAATGCCAGTTAACAGTATTACCCAGTATTTTTTTTGTGTGTGAAAGAAAAGTCTTTGATTCTTAGATGGAAATTATTCTTCTACCACCCACCTTCTTAGTATTTTCTCATATACGGGTACCTAAGGAAGGAACATGAAACATTTCAGAAGAGTTATGATGAACTTAAAAAACACTTAAAACTTTGCACATGCGTCATCTTCAAGGGGATGAAACAGAAGCAAAAAGGACTTAGACATTCAACAATTTCTTAAACCCCACAGACTCTTCTAGATCTCTTTTTTATATCTCTGCTTTTGGATTAGTGAATGTCAAGTGATAGAGTAGTCCTATAGTAAACTATTTCAACATCTTTCCATCAACGCACAGTGAATGGAGACGATTGTTAAGCTATTCATTGAAACTCTGAGGAGACCTCCTGTTTCTGCCTGACCCTGTATGGTTATAGAGCAGAATGAATGTGTTCTGCATCTGTCAGGATGGAAGAAAGTCATAACACCTGCCCTCTGGAATTCCCCACCGCCTAAGAGATCTAAATGGTTCCCACCTGTAGATTCCAACCTGGTTATTTCCCAGGTTTTGGTTTGTGTAGCTCCCCTATAGATTTTTCTGTGTTAGCCAGATTTCTTTCTTTCTTTCTTTCTTTCTTTCTTTCTTTCTTTCTTTCTTTCTTTCTTTCTTTCTTTCTCTCTCTTTCTTTCTTTTCTCTCTCTCTTCCTTCCTTCCTTTTCTTACTTCTTTCTTTTCTTTCTTTCTTTTCTTTCTTTCTTTTTTGGATGTACATTGTTCTTTTTATTCTTACAATCTTTAATGCCACCCAAAGATTTTTACAGAATTGGGCACCATTTTAAATGTAAAAAAATAATTTAATAATTAATTTAATATTAAATTTCAATGTAATCCAATTTAATAAATGTCAATTTAATAAATAATAGATTTAAAATAATAATAACAAAGTAGTAATAGATTTAATAAATAGATTTAATAAATAAGCTGATTAGAAATTACAACCATGAGTCATAAAAATTCATTTCTCTTCTTCCTCTATTCCCCTTCTGATTTGATCCCATTTATAGATCTAAGGAGAGAAGGCTAGTAGAATAAGTTTAGTCAAGGTGGAGGTGGCTTGGAATCCTCAGACATAGGGATCCTTGACAAGGCCTTCAGCCTTTAAAAAAAAATTGCCATGATATACTGAAAGGTTAAGGTGTGCCCATGTACCTAGACATGTACCTAGGACAGAAAGCAATGAGGATGGACTGGAAGGTAGAATTGGGTTGTAGGTCAGTCCTCCAGACAACCTCAATGTGTACAGATTAAGGCAATCAGATGATAGCAAAGAAGTACATGCATTAAAAAAAACTATCTCTTCTGCTGACTAGTGGCCAACAGCACTCTGTTAGGTCAAATCTGACAGTGTTGGTAGTGATGCCACCTGCTGATTGAGCTTCATCTTTAGAGAATGCTCTGAGCCATGGCTGTCTTCTTCTATAATTGAAGCTAATAGCTGCAAGCTTTGGACATCAAAAGAGTTCTTTTCAGCCTTTGGAACTTCTACTTCATGAAGTATGTTAAAATATATCTCATGAAGGATCAAATGCCAAAGTCTAGAACAGCATGGAATACAAAAGCTGATTTTAGAGCATAAGCTGTAAAATACCATCTACTCACTGTAAAAACACTTTTAAACCTGCTCTATATTAACTTTGAAAGAGGTCTCTTTGAAATTAGTATTATTTATTAATGAATAAATATGCAAATGACTTGCTTGCAGTTTTCATAAATTAAATGACTATTGTTTGTTAAATTCAAATCCACAATTATAAATTTACTCAACAAATTAAAATGTTTAGTATTGTGTCTTTATAGATGTAAATTGCTATATAAGAAATCTAATTAATTTAGTTCTTCCAAAGTCATATCAAACTTATTTCTGTGGAAATAAGCTAAGGGGGAAAATCAGTGGAAATACTTTATTTGGGTTCTGAGCAAATTGGCCTGAACAGAAATGAAGCTCAAATAATTAATTAATCAATTTGAATATAGAATTTGGTTCTCCAGATGTTTATTTGGAGTTTGAAAGCCCTCCTAGCCATCTTATTGTAAGAAACTAGCACAGAACAAAAATATTCTGACATTGATACTAGTTACTGTCTTTTGCACAGAATGGTTAATTCATGAAGGTCTATAATTTAAATGTTTCCTTCAGTTGCTTATATTACTACTTTCTTGGATTTTGTTGATATATTTCTGTAAAGCACTACTAGATTTATTCACAGTAAATGATTAAATATATTCTCTAATTTGTTTTAGGGTGTTGAAGCAAAAAATTATTTTATGGGTCTTGTGCCGCCCATTGAATCAGCTGACATGAAATACTCTAGTATTAATATAAGCTTCTGTTTGGGATTATCTCAGTTAATGATTTCAGTAGGTTGTCAACAATTGTAACATAGTTACAATTATCAAATTATGGCATCAAATCTCTATCCAGCTATAGCATTTGCAGGACAAAATGGAGGCTGGCAATAAATTAGCTTATTATAAGATTCAGTTCAAAGAATTTTCAAGTTGAACTAGAGAAGGATCTTTAAATTGCTTTCAAAAACCAGTTGTGAAGTGTAAAGCAATAGCACTTAGCCAATAGCGATAGCACTTAGACTTATATACCACTTCACAGTGCTTTTCAGCCCTCTTTAAGCAGTTTACAGGGTCAGCACATTGCCCCCAACAATCTGGCTTCTCATTTTATTGACCTTGGAAGGATGGAAGGCTTAGTCAATCTTGAGCCCATCAGGATCGAATTCCAGACTGTGGGCAGAGTTAGCCTGTAATACTGCATTCTAACCACTTCACTACCAGGGCTCTGTATATAAATACAGGGGAGTCTGAGGTTGATTATCTTTCCTGCCTCCAGTATTGCGGCCTTCACTTTTTGTTTAATTTCATCCAAGGAAAAGACTCAGTCAGGGAAATGTTATCAATGTCCCTTTTATATATAAAAGATGTTGCTGTTTCTTTTGTTTTTAAGTATACATTATCTGAGAGAATACTCTGTCAAAGAGAAAGATGGGATAGAAGACAGTTAAATAAATAAGAAGCATTAAAATATTTAGTAAATATAAACCTTTAAAAATATTTCTCTGCCCACCCCCCGCTCCCTTTACTGCACAGACATCAAACATATACACCATTGTCTCATCTTTTTTCATTTTTTTCAAACAGTTTGTATTTTTTTTTTATGTCATTTCAGGTTTTCTGCAGAAGAGGTTATCCAGTGGTCCCAGTCCCTAGAAAAGCTTTTGGCAACCCAATGTAAGCATTTCTTTCTAACTACTTGGAGTATATAATCTTGAAAGAAACTTGGAAAAATGCAGGTATCACTTTCTTAAAATATGCCTTGACTGAGAAGCATGTTCCAGAGCACTGGTGTCGTCCTTCAGATATTTAAAAAAAACTAATTCTATTTATTCAATAAAATATTTTAAGCCCATTTAATGACTTTTCATATGTACATATGGGCACATAATGTATGACCGAACAATATTCTCTGACACTAACGGAGACTATAGTTATGTATATATGCATTTTGATACAAAAAATTTGTCCCAGTACTCATTGTTTGTTTGGTACTCAATGCACAAGCTAGAAATTATCAGCTTGTAGCTTTCTAGTACTTTTCTATCTAGAAAACAGCTATTTCCTGTACCATTTCTGTAAAATATTGGTAGGATGTTCATTTTTTCCTTCCTTCAACCTACTTATAATCAATGATTGAATTAACTGAGAAATTGCTCACAAGTTGATCACTTGACTTTTTTTTTGGATAACTCACTAATAATTCCAGTCACAAAATATCACATTTGCATAAAGTTGGATGAGAAAGAAGTTCAAAAATAGTTCTGGAAGACTGCAGTAGTCAAAATCCACAAAACATTCTGGAGATCTTTTTCCCTTTCTATTTCCTAATATACCTATACTACAAGTTTCCAGCAATGTTGTATATCTTCAAATTCAGTGTCCTCCACCTGATTTAATATAATGGTTGAAATCATGTTGATGTTTCTATTCACTGTAGGTGGTCAAGAAGTATTCAGAGAATTTTTGAAATCAGAATTCAGTGATGAAAATATTGAGTTTTGGCTGGCATGTGAAGACTATAAGAAAACACAGGCTGGTCGTTTACAAGGCAAAGCAGAAAAGATTTATCAAGAGTTTGTCAAGTCAGATGCCAGAAAACAAGTAAGCTCTAAATCAATTAATAATTGACTTGAATAATTGGACTGGAACATTCATATTCTAAGAGAATAATTTTCATATGGTAGAATTATTATAAGATTGATTTTATATCACTTCAGTGTTTCTTCCTTTTATCTTGAAATAAAAGACAGTATGCCCCTTATGAGGATGAGATCCCACACTCACGAACAAACTGTTTATGTTAAGGATGAAATCCCACAATCATTATTTAATTTGCTATTTATGGAATAAACCCTCAGTTACATGCAAACATCTTTTCTTACTGAAAGAGGCTACTTGCAAATTGTCTGAAGTGAATCAGTTATATGAATATTGAATTATGAGGGACTATACTGCTATTTGCATTACTATTAAGGATATTATGAAACAGGTTTCTAAACTGTACTCAGCTTTATATACTTTCAAGAAGAAACATACCCAGCAGTATACCATACACTATGGGCTAAAGAACCATAAATCATCCTTATTTTTCATGTCTCCATCTCATAGTCTTAAATGTATACCTTTACAGCAGTGTTTCTCAACCTTGGCAACTTTACGATATGTGAACTTCAACTCCCAGAATTCTCCAGCTAGTGTTGCTAGCTGGAGAATTTTGGGAGTTGAAGTCCACACATCATAAAGTTGCCAAGGTTGAGAAACACTGCTTTACAGGCTATTCCAGTCCCTCCAACATTTTTTTTAAGATGCCAAAGTTCCAGGGCTACATAGCATACCCATACCAATTTTATTTATAAAATTTATATGCCACCATCTCACAATATCAGTGTTCTGAGAAATATGAACTCTGTTTTGGGATTTATCTCATTTCTCAATAACTACTTAAACGTACAATGTAGCAACAATTCAAATCACATTGAGTTTGTATTTGAACATTATTATATCAATGGGATAGTTTTTATAAAGAAGTTTCATTTTGATCTCCCTAGGTCAACCTTGACTTTCACATAAGAAAATCTGTAGCCAAGAAGATTCAAGATCCCACACCTTCAAGTTTTGATGAGGCTCAGAGACTTGTGTATGTATTGATGGAGAGAGACTCTTATCCAAGATTCCTTAAATCTCAACATTACCATAACTTTCTAAACAAGGTTCAAAGCAACCATCTCAAGTGACAACTGAGGATCAGCTCTGAAGCTTCGAGAGTTGCTGTGCTTCAATATACTAAGTGGGACTGTTGGAACTAAGATGGCAAGGAAATGATAGAACTCTTAAAACAAGAGATAGTCTGCAAACTAGCAAGACGAAGTGTCTGGAACATCCCTTTATAAGGAGAAAGAAGACAGAATAAAAGAAAGAGAGGCAATGCTGTCTTGATACTGATCAGCTAAGGTTCACTCTACACACACACACACACACACACATCTAATATTCTTTCACATCACACTTATCAAATGTTGTGAACAAAAAAGTTTTGAGTTTAATCGCACAGCTATCAAGACAAATTTTAGGAAGTTTACATTCTGTGCATTATTTCTTTCTTAAGCATTTTATTTTGTAGAGCTAGATGTATGACCTTGAAAGGTATTGCTTTGAGGTATAAGGAGTATAATGAGTGCAAAGTTGTGCTTTCATTTTATGCTCCATGGTTTAGGGAAATTGATGCAAATCATACTTGCATAGATTCAAGAGATAAACATGTATATATGAACAATGCCAAAGTTGATCTAGGCTTTACAAATAAGTTTTGAATTTAGCACAGATCATTAACAGATATTGCATTATTTATTCATGATAAATTTTAGGAAGTAGGATATTCTTCAAGACAATTTGTCATGGTCACCATGGCATATAATCAGTCCAAACCTTCTGTGAAAGAATTTGGAAAACAATCTGGTATTCACAACAACCTTGACTAATTATATTTGGCAGTCAGTCAAAGGTCTCTCTCCATCGCACCCACCCTCCATCCCTGGGATTACAAAACCATGGAGTTTTTCCAAGCATAGCAGGCTGTAATATCTATCTAGTCAGCTGGGGCAATTTCTTGGGATGCTGTGTTAAATCTAACTCATACTGACAATATGTGGTCATCCCTAGAGGCACAAAAGCCTATGGCTAAAAAAGTAAGTGGCCCCTTATGCATTGCTTCAAATGAAAAAAAAAAAAGCTCATTATCCCAAAAGAGGACAGGAAAGGGTACTGATTTTATATGCTATAATTCAATAAAATATTTCTCTGCTAGTGACAAACGTGCTTGCACAATCTGGTGTGTGGATTGTTGGTGATGATGATAAGCTATTTCAAGTCTCCTGCTCTTCCTTCTATGGGTACTTTCTCTTTCAAGAGAGGATACTTTCAAAGTTAGATCTGGCCTCTGTAAAATCAGACACATGGCCTCATTCCCAACTAACTCCCTGCAAAGCTGAACTGTGATTTATTGGTTTGTTCTTTTATTAGCTGGACCCTGAATTCAAACAATACTGGACTGATATATTTCCAGTCAGTCTTACTGTTTTTTATTGTTGTTGTTTTGCAACTGATTAAGAGGCAAATAGTGGAAGTATATCCCATCAGAATATTGTCACTCCTTTAGTTCAAATTTATTGAAACTCATTAAAACTATGGGGAATGGAGGAAAGTATATTCAAAATAGACTTGTCCAGATACCACTCTGCTTGCAGGCGAGATGACAGGTGGTTGGCCACCCCACAAATAAGCTGAACTGATCTTTCAACAGCTTTGGATCCTACAACTAGTGAATTTAAGGAAAGTTCATGGGATGAAAGTAAATAAACTCTAGATGCACAGAAACATACATAATCACACACACTTGCTCACAGATTGTCATATTGCTATGAATAATGTGTTTGTGGTTGAAGGTTTTGGAGTAAAGTTCACATGATTTGGGGACTTTCTTCCCCAATTGTCTACATTCATCTTTCCACATTGTTCTGAAGAGCCTCCTTACGTTTCATAAGGGATTCAAAAAGAAAGTTGCTACAAAGAGGAGAAAGAGGCAGAACACCTTTATGTCTATGGGCTGGAACAAACTGCCTTAATTTAGCTCATATCCAATTCATTATGTTTAGAGATGTTAACCCTTGCTCTTAAAATAAGTATTATTTCCCCCAGTATATCTCATTAAATATATACCGTATGTATTCGGATATCCATGGTTTATAAATACTGAGTGTATTATTTGCTTCTGTAAATATTGATAGACTGGTTCTTGATTTTCTGGAAATATAAGCTAATATTTAAATAAGTATGTATCATCTATGTGTAAGTGATATTAATATTTTGTCATTGCAAATTGTAAGCTATAACTAATGACCACCGAATTAAAATATATTGTATTAAAATATATATTGTAATCATTTGTGCTTCAGTAACTATTCTTTCTTTGTTATTAACAACTTTGAAAAAGATATCAAGCACAATATTAAACTTGATTGATAGCAATGAATTATTCAGGTATGTTTAGCAACTGGAAATAATTTGTAATGACCGATCTCTTGAATCTACAGAGCTATTTTCTTTTCCAGCATATCAAGTAATGTCATGCTTACTCAGCTTTATTAACTTAACTATAAGAAAGGCTGAACCATAAAAAAAAACCAGTCTAAACTCATAAATAAGGTTAATAGCTGCCATTCATTTCCAAAAACACTGCTTTGGTTGTCTGGACTCCTTTCAGTCAGTGTCTTGCCTCAATTTTAGAACTGAAATTCAAGAATGCAAATATGTAAAATAGTTTTCAATCAAGTGTGCTTCCCCCCCCCCCCCGCTTAGACCAGTAATCTAGAAGGGGGATTAAAGACAAGGTTTGATTGCTATGGTATTGTCAATTATATCTTGCCTTTTATCAAGAACTACCTAAAACTGAAGACTGATCTGATAATTTGAAGTGAAGTGTCATCAGTATGCTGTTGATGTATTGGTCTTTTCATCACATTCATCTGGAAGTATGTAAGCACTGAACTGGTGCATTGAATTGGTAATATATTGATTGATTAACCTGAAATTCCATGTTCTTAATAAATTATCACCACATAACTTGAAGAAGTTCCTAATCTTGGCCCTATAATTCTAGTTCCACAGAGCACTACACTATCTGATACTGATTCCCGCCTCACAGAGATAGTTTGGACATATTTATTCCTGGAGTGATAGTATCCTGTCTGTATTGGATATGGAGCTGGTCTTTCAAGTTAGTAGCTATAGTGAACACAAAATAAAGTTATCTAACCACTGACTAGAATAAGGTAGGACATATATTTCCAATTTTAAAACAGGTAATCTGGATTTCTTTTCCAGTATGATTTAAGATGTCTGCCTTAAACTTCTAAACCTTAAACAGTGTGGAAACTACAGAGCTGTGTATTCTCATGTGATTGTCTCCAGATAATCATTTTCCTTAGAAGTCCTTCTTCAACTTTATCTTTGGAAATGATAATGTTAGTACAGTAAGTTATTGAGTTGTGATTCCCTCACTTAGGAAAACTATCTTCTGAAATTCAGTTACCACTGGCCCTGCTTTTGTTATTCATTTATTCTATATTACCTCTGAAAGATCAAGGCAAAAATGTGATGGCCTTTCTTTAATTTATTCCTAACCCTATGCTGTGGCAATGTACTATGATACAGAGAGAGAGACTACTCTAAGCCAGTCAATGAGGTCCAATGAGATCAGTGGCTGAGGAAACATGAATGTGTGTCTCTTTGGTCCTAAATCAAAACCTAAACCACTACAGTACACAACAGTATACCACACAACATTGATAATTTTGCTATGAGACAAAGTCCTTTCAATTTCTTCATTTTGGATTGAGATTTCTCTTTTTTAAATCTTAAGACTATTAAAGTGTTTTGCTTTCACCCTAATACTAGGATTAACCCAGAACATTTTGCTACCTGAAATAGAACAGCGGATAATGTCTAGCACACCTACCCTCCCCCAAAAAAATCAAGACATACCTTACCACCCTTAGCACACAAACTAGAATATCTCCCCAAAATGTCTGAATAAAAAAATTGAGAAAAATATTACTAGAATTGATTTTTTTTCATGACATACAAACTCTGCTTAATGATAAGGCCAGCCATATATTTGATTGTTTATGTTGTTCCATTACAGTCATAGATCAGCATAAGAATACAAACGAAAGTTAAAAAAAACCTAAAAGATTATTTCTCTCTGTGTGTGTGCTTGTTTAAAAAACAAAACTCTAAAGGAAAACCTAAAAAGAGGGATTAAAATTCATAAAAATAACAGAAAACTCAAATAACAAATCAAATACTCATTAAGGCTAGTTTGAAGCATGACTCATCATTCGATTTTAATCACTGCTACAGAAACTGGCAAGGTATGTTGTAGCAGGATTAGTGTCTGCAAGCAGCAGGGATGTATAGTCCTGTGCACTCCAAATATTTATAGAGTATTGAGGCTAGTATGAATGTTTGTGTAGTAGAGGCACTGAAGGAGCACATGCTCTGTTGTTTTTCTATGTCCAGTCACAAGGACTTTGCCTCTTCCAGTAGGGAATTTTCCTGTACTGACCTTCAAGGACAGCTGAAATGAGGGCATGCCATCATGTCAGTGTAAAGGCCCTCTGGTGGCATTTGTGTTGTTTTCACTGGCCTACAAGAAGCAGCTTGCCTTTAACTTGACAAGATGTGTTACAGTGCTGAGATGAAGTGTTTCTCATTCCTGAGCTAAAGAGATGGCATATTTTCTTTGACGAAGTACTCTGCAGGGATTTCAGTGGAGGGAAGGGTCAAAATGGCAGTCATAATTCCATGATTGAAGTTCTGCCCTTTGTACATTCCACATCACTGTACATACAAAAGGGATAAGGCTTCCAACACAAGCACCACCTCACCTTTTCTCACATACTCCCTACCTTCTGCAGATGCCACTGGTCCTCTGCATCACCTTGAAGCTTCAACTCTGAAACAAGACAGAGGGAAATAATATGGCCACATGCTTTGTTTTCCTTTATTTCTGCAAGCAAGAGTTATCCTGCTCTGGAAAGTATTTTGGAAGGCGCGCTTGCAACATTAAAGGAAAGCGCTTCTTCAAAGATTTGTACAGCCCTATTTAAAAAATGGAAAGATTCTAGGACTTTTTGAAATTAGTGAATGTTTTCCCAATTCTTAAAAATTTAATAGAAAGCAAATGTGAAGGATTTCTTTAAAAATTAAAAATTGCTTGGTAGCCAACTTCCCCAGAATCCAAAATCTAAGGTTATTGAGAGCCTGACAGCGCACTATATTACTGAGGTTAAGCAGCATTTAAAAGTTATGAAGACATTTGATGTGTGCAAGAAAAGCAGAACAAAATCTTTTGAGCTGATGAATTGTAGGGCTGGACTGAGCTGCATAATCAAATCTACATTTCATTGTGTTGACTTGTTAAAAAACTCTAGACACATTGTGGAGGTTATTTATCAAGAAGGTCGGTAACTGGCAAAGCTAAATCATGAGGCCAGACTTTTTCTGCCTGGGTAGAATTTTTCATGGAAAAAACAAAGCATAATTCACAATGGCAATATTGCCTTACAAGAGCAATTTACATTTTGCTTGCATCTTTTCCACTTGAAATTCTAGAGCCTCTGCCAAAGAAGACCACAGTGCCTGTTGATAGCTGATGTCAAACTCTCAAAACAATACCTGTGTTTTGGAATCACTAAGTGATACCAAATAGAATTGCAAGGAGCATAGTTCTGAGCCTTAAACATTTATGATGGACATAAATAAAAAGAAAACTGTTGTTGATTGCATCTTTGCAATCTTGCTAGCTCCCAGATTAAAAAAAACAACAACTGTTTTTCACTTTTCCACTTTTAGGGCAGACTCTTTCAATTCTTCCCTACTCCAGATCTATAATTGTTTCATTTCTGTTTAAAGATATCAGCACAACTAATATGTGAACCACTTTAACAAGGATGAAGCCATAAGGCAACATGAAACCATTGTCCTATGCTTAAAAGTCTTTACAAGTGATATTCTCAGATCTGCAATAATTTATCCCCTTGTCTAGGCTTTCAGCTTTGGTAGAGCAAATCAATTTATCAGAGGAGAATGGATGGCCATTCATATATGATGGTAATGCCATGCACGCTTCAGTTCTGTCTATACTCCACTGGTGTATGCCCACTAATAGACTAGTTCAGTAGGAATTCAACCTGCATAGGAAATTGAAGGTTATCTAACTATATCATAAAGCTTCTGTTGAGAGAAAAACCAGAAGACACCTTTGGCAAGTCGTAGAAAGACAAGGCAAGAGAAAGCAAAGGCTGAGGTGGGGAATATGGCACTAAACTAGAATATAGGGGGAAATGGTAACATAGTGGAAACCTAAGATAAGAGAAAAAGAAGAATCAAAGTCCTGGATGCAAATGCCAGGGGAAACCTTAACATCATTGCTGTTTTGTTTTTTTTTACAATGATCACAGACTGCTAAGGATTCAGGAGATATTTTAGTAAACAACCCCCTGAAGCTACCATTGAGAAGAACCTCCTCCTTGCAGGTTCATAGGGAAAGTCATTAAAAAGAAAACAAAGAATAAGGCTCTGGGTTAATGTCCTGGGTAATGGGTTGGTTTTAAAAAGGAAATCATTCTGTTATTAATGTTTTATATAATCCTGTCCCCTTCAGTTCAATGATTTTTTTTAAGAAGACCTTGTAAGAATCTTGTTCAGAATTTTTAGTCTGAGAAAAAAAACTTGGACAATAGAGACATCTGAATGTCTCATTTCTACCATACTTGTAATATTATATGGGGAAAACTTTGTGAAACAGAAGGAAAAGTCACTAGATAATGGTCAGATACGGGGCAGTTGAGCCTGCCAAAGGAATGAGGGCATGGCAAACCTCTCAGAAGGGACCCTCCCTAATTTCTTGGACTGTAAAGGCAAATGAAGGGCGATTTATTTTCACACTTGCAAGATTCTGTTAATATTACTTTTCAATAATGTAAGAACTAGTACCTCTTCTTTGACTACCTTGCAAGGCTAACAATACCTCAGCCATATGGAGTGGAAGCTACTTACTATTTCTTTTTTCCTTTTCTTTCTGTTCTTTATCTTTAACTTTTTTGTTCATCTTATTTCTGTATTGATTTGTGTTAGTTTTTATGTTCTATTTAAAACTTTTAATAAAAAATATATTAAAAAGATAATGTTGAAAGAAAAATCTTCAGGGGCCAGTCCAAGCTGAGAATAAACAAAATGGAGACTGCTTAGGAAAGAAGGTTCAATTTAGTTACCAGAAACTTCAGTGACAGCAGCATGTTTCTGGGTTGGCTGACAAAATGGAGCTGGGAGTGGGTGGGTTTTTATACTTTTTAGGGGTTTTGTGTTTGGATTTGTTCCTGTTTGAGGTTATTCCTGT